AACTGCTGGGACAGATGAATGACCGCTAAAATTCTGATCAAAACCCATCAAGTAGCGTGGGCTCAACTGATCACGTGTACGAAGCGAATCCGGTTGCACTGGATAACCGTCCTCCGCGAATGGTGAACTTGGTTGAAGGGATCTGTCCGAGTGTTGTCCAGTGTCACTTGAAGGTGAACCCAGATAAATTGGGGCGCGCAAATTGGTTAATCTGGTAAATCTTTCATCACCAATGCTTTCGTTTGATTTTACCGATGTCTGACGTTGTAGAGATTGTTGGATCCTATAATTAATTGGTCGACGGGCCATAGCACACCTTAGTCACAAAAGTTGCAATCCATAAAAGGGTTCAGCGAACTTGGGGAGAAATTGCGTCATTTTCTAGTCCCAGCGTTGGACAGTAATAATTTTATAATAGTCCAGCCCGGAAAATGGGTTACATAGCGCACACGAAAAATTTGTTCTGACCACGACTGACCTGCTCTTGTCCGATTGGTTCAACCCTTCTGATGAAGGTCACCTCTAAGTAGGAAACGTGATTGGTTGAAAGCCCAATTGAAGTCGCCTGACTTAAAGGCTAAGTTTGCACTAATAGTGATTTGACAGACTACTTGGTGAACGAAAACAATAAGGTGTGTTTACGGACGAGTGGTATCCTATCGTTTTCATGCGTATTTCGTTCAACTCGAGTCGCGATGTGGGCGAAAATTCGCATAATTGTAAAAGGAATCGAGTTCCGCATCGCACAGTTAACAGTAAAATGCGTTCCGATGTAAACCAAATCAACCGTTTAATTCGGCGGGTCGTGTTTTCAAGATTACCAGGCTAGAATCTACTTACTGATAAAAGCTATAGTTTGATATTTTTGTTCTACTAGCAAAATACATACAATTCAGTTTTAAACAGCCAGTTGTTATCATCAGACTTAGGTTAGTGTAAAAATTGGGTCTAAATACTGAGGAATAAAACTGACACATTGTTTCACTGATAATTTACACCGTGTGGTTCGTTCCAGAGAGAATGTATTCGAACAGAAAATCGTTGGAATTTGAAATTTACTGTTCAATTTTTTGTTTTTGTCGATGATCTCACATACTACTGCGTAAATCAAAAGGGGAAATATATTTTGCATTACTCCCCAGCATCTGAAAATCCGTTTGAGTTTGCATTATTCATAACACGTTTAATCAAAAGTATTTGCTTTCTGAATTGTTTGCTTGTACTAATCACTTATTTGCAAAGTGGGTTAAGAATTGCATTTTCATTGAAACACAGTTCCTTCCATCCTCATCCCCATCCCTGATCACCTCAAAGGTAAAATGAATTTGCATACTGTCGTGGCTCTTCCATAACAATTGATGAAAATTGATTCCAGAGATTTTGCCGATTTTGCTGAACAATTTGAAGTAAATGCAAACCACTAGCCTTATATCTGTCATTGTTTATTCCCCTCCATTTATCAGCGCGTACCCATCTCATTGCTTTTTCACAAACCAAATGCATTGTTATGGTTAGTTTGTATCGGTCTTTCGAGAAAAATAATTACAAGTGAAAACGTCATAAATTTAGTTCAATAAATGTTTAATTTAAATGAATATTTGGCAGTGTGATAATTTCTTCCAGTAGTGAACCGTTACTGTGAATCTACTGCATGCCTAAATATGATGGTTATGTCCGCTCTGCCAAAGCCTAGGCTGAAAGCGATGACGGAACATTTGAAAGGATTTCTGAGTCGGAAACCTTTGTCAAAATATATTTTGTCACGCGATTATCGAAATGACCGCTGCATTGACAGCACACAGAGAACTATTTCCAGTAAATGGACTATAAAAGGGATGTTCTATGCAGTGAGTGAGAAACAGGAGGATTGGAACACACCGGAACACTGTTTCATGAAGTTATTTATTCTAATACATGTATTTGGAACGCAATTTTAGAAGAAAGTTTGTTTCCGGCACTGTACATTCTTGTCATTAAAAGTGATGTCCGAAAATGGAGTCTCGGGTTTCGGGAGGCCTGCAATGAATGGTTGGGTGTGCCTGAGCGGATACGTGATACAGGTGTTAGCACGTCTGTAATACGTTCGAAGGCACGCACTGAATATAACTGAATGTATCTGTCTCAATCGGTTTTTCTCTCTCCGTCACTGCGTTCAATGCACTATTCGCTCATGAGCACGCAGGTCATCATTCATTTTCCCGGAGTTCATAAGGTCACATCTCATCCACTTCGACCAACTTTTCCCCTATGGGTACCCGATCACATGCATCCCGACATCTTCCCCAAAATTGATTGTGAACCTGTTTTCAGCAAAATATGGGAGTATTGCATTTTTGCTTTTCTTACCATTGATAATTACTCATACGACTACCGCGTATTGGGTTGCGCTCCTTTACTGCGCGCTTATCTGAAAACAATACAGTACTACTCTTCGTAATATAACAGCAAACTCGTAAATTTGCTCAACTTTAGGCCAACAGTGCGTTCCTTTCTAATCGCTATTTTGTCGGTTAGACATACGACTCCACATAAACGTCTATTCAAGTCCGAACTATCTGCACTATTGCTAATTGTTCTCCAACACGGACCAAACATGCTAACCACTTTGAACCCAATCGCATTTAGTGTGCACGAGATTGCCTGGAGGGGGGGTAATCTCTCATCTTCAGAAATATTGCGGATGTAATGTTTTTTTCCAAATCCACACAATTTTTCAAAATACAATAAAACTCCCCACCCCCAAATTGGAAATCATAAAATATGTGAAACATTTGGCTTCCAAACAAAATACACGGCATTGGCATTATTTGAAGATTAGTGAAAAACTTCCTACATATGAAGATAATCCGGTTTGAGGCCCACTAATCCGGAAAAAAAACAATATTTGTTAGATAATGGAAACCCCCTTTCGCCTCCCTCCTCTGGCCTACATCACGTCCGACACTTAGATGTTCAGTAGGAAGATGACTTGGTCTAGTCAGAGTTTGATGAGGTTTCCGCAGTCCTTTGTAACCGCAGACAATCGGCGTTTTAGTTCACAGTCAAACTGGTGCAGTTACGCATTATTCATTGCTGGATGCTGTTCCTCTTGTTAATATATTTTCCGTATGTGTAAGCCAAATTTAGCAGTATTCATTCTTTACCAGTCTGTCGAATCTTAGTAATAAGCATTTGAGGTATTTCCGGCCAAAATATCTTCCACTGGTGTTCAGACCCGTTAAACAAATTCATATTCTATAAATCAAATCCAAGTTTGTTAGCTTCAAACAATTAGAATGAGATCAAAGTCAATCCGACTTCCTGGTTTTTCATGGTTTGTTTCAAAACAAAATTTAAAAAATTGTCACAGTTCTCTGTAAATTGAACGTTCCCTCGAAATAGCAGTTTAACAAATAAGCAACAAATCAGCAAACAGCCATCTGGAAATCCTGCACACCCTTCCCTTTTATCCCACCCGCCCACACACACCAAGTAAAACCCGATGCTCCAGCAGTTCAACGATGAGGTTAATGAAATTGGACAGTTGAATCAAAAATAAAAGCAGAATGAACATGTGTGTTGAGATCACTTTTCCTGTTGGTTCATACCACTGCGTTGTACATTCGAGTGATGTGATAGGGCGCCCACGTGTAACTTTTAAGCAAATTCCACTTTTTTATTCCATCTTCTCATAGCCGACTGACACTCATATCAGCAGAGGCTAAATCATGCTGGTAAGGTTGTGAGTTGAATCAAATTAGATCTCAGGTATATAAATCAACCATTAAAAGTTGTATTTGAATGGTTCGAACCAACCTTCTCGGAACAATTGAGTACGAATTTTTAACCCTTAAATGTGCTTCTATGTTCAATTCGCAATCCCGGATATGCAACTAGTTGCCGAGAAATTCAGAAACAAATAGAACAGAGACCGAAATAGTTATCTCAGCCAAAAGCCCCACCTCATGCATTTGCGTATTATAGGCACCGATCACCCGTGGGTACATGAAAACCTGAGAACAAACGTTTGCTTCCGACAGGGTGTATTCTCGTACCGTATTGAGTGGATTCTGTAATTTTCTAGAACAACTTGAGATAAAGAAATAGATTGTTCTCTGATATTTTCAATGTATAACCTGAACGTCAACTAGCAATTTCCGAATACTGAATGGTGCTCAGGAAGCGCTTGAATTGAGCCATCTTGTAGGCAACAATAATTGCGCAATAGACTCACTTTAACTTATGCAAGAGAACGAATGAAAATTATCATTTAGTTCAGATACTCTCTCTCTGACCAAGAATAAGTTAACCATTATTACAAAATTAAAGATATATTTGAGTTTTTTGCAGAGAAGCAGTTTATTGCCCGGGATCCAAAAAAACGTTTCCCGATGATTCGTGTATACTTAGACCCCCGGGTGAAGTAATAAAACCCCATGTATGCTTTCAGTAGATAGGGACAATTACGCGCTCTATTGCTTTGATGCACTTTTCATGCGGGGGAGAAAAAAACTGTGTGGGAATGCCCCTGCCCTACACGTGTGGGATCGCAGTTGAACTAGTTTATTGCCCCGTAAGATAAATGGGAGGTAAGAGGAAAAACACACAAGCGTCGCATAGGTGCACAAAGATTGTCTCGTTGCAAATATACGGCAAGTAAATTAAAGTAGATTGCGATGACTCCAGAAAGTGATCGGAATAGTGAAAGGATTAGTTATATCCTTGAGTAGAGAGAAAATAGCATTCAGGAAAATTGATGACTTCAGCCGTGTCCCTCTGTCGAGCTAGCCATTATCGAGTATTTTGTGATTAATTTGCTCGAAAAGGATTGGCGGTTGAATCAAAGAAAACTCTACGTGTTGTTTGATCGAACTATTGGTAGTGATTTTACATAGCGTGAACAAGTTTTACAAATCGTTTTTTTTATTGTTTTTTTAGCAGAAACATTTCATTAATTCTGCGAAATTCCTCAAATTTCATTTACATTTATAATTCTAAAATCAGTTTTTAGATAGAGTACAAAAGTGGTTCGTCTGTAGAATCGTTTTACTCCGGATACAGATATAACCCACGTTTTTAAGGTTGCGTTTATGTACGTTAAGAACGTAATTCCGTAGGTGAACACTCGTTTACTAAAGACTCATGATCCTGCCTATGCATATCGTTTAAGGATACATTTTCAGTGGGGACAATTTCACACAGGTTATTCAGGATGGGGAGATGTGATGGGTGAGTCCTGTGTCTGTGTTTGACTGAGATCAATTGAGCTTAGAGTGTTGGTGGCGATGGTCATAATAAAATAAAATAAAAAATGAGTATCTATTTACTTCCTTTTTC